ATTGGGCGCGTGTTATCGCCATTTCAAAGAGAAATGTTCTGAAAATGCGAGTTGCGACGACACAAATCCAGATCAGCCGGAATGCATCTGTAATGATGGCTATCATGGAGATGGCTTCAGCTGTCAGCTAATCGAGAGGCTTCTGGGTTAGACATATAGGATTCTATTTTTGAAAATTTAAGTCACTTGACGAAATTCAGCATGAACTGTTCGGAAGTCTTATGATTGAAGTCACTCTTCTTGAATGCATTCTTGTAGTTGTACGGCGAAACTAAATGATTTTGATCGAATTAACACAGCGTACAGCACCGCTGAATCATCGTCATCTACAAGTGATCAATACGTTCCCACTCGAATTTGCCAAACAATTCTGAGTAGTGAACGTTTCCGTTTGTCGGTCACCAAGGTAATCAATCGACTGATTAATTCTCATGCTGAACTCAATTCCAGAACGTCCATCTGAGCCAACTGATGAAGATGAACCGAAAGTGATAACTGATGGTATCCCGCTGTCAATACCGGGTAAAATTGGTCGTGAAGAAGGATTCGATGAAACACCCTTCCTGGCTAGCAATTGGATTACCGAAAAGGTTACTTTTCGAGCACACCTCTATCGAACCTCAGTTCGGCTGCACAATTTTTTCAGTGACATCAAATCACACATTTTAAATTGAATGAACTTGCAAAATTTATTCCAAATTTATGTTTTTCTGCGAAAGTTGAGCGCCTTCTAAATCACTTGATGTAGAAAGCTATTAAAGTTATTTTGTTGTTTTTGTAAAACTGAGATTCGAGGAATTGATTATGAGTATTCACCAAGTAGTTATTCTCATTCACATTTCATTTCAGTCATCACCGGAAGTCACATCAAGGAGTACAAAGAAACCATTCGTAACACCAAGTGAGCCAATCGCAAAGGATTATAACGATATTGAAAATGAGGTTTTGATTGGTGGTCGAACGATGGATGACGACACTGATAACGCTAGTTGTGCGTTTTTCTTTCGACCAATTTTTTAACATCTCAAATTCAAATTATCCGAATGAAAGAACTGTTATACAAACCAAATTGTATGAATGAATCAATTGCGAATATCTCTAGAAATCAACAACACCTGCAAATATAATATATGCACAATCCTATTTGGCATCTTCACTAAACATAACAGTTTCTGATAGAATAGATCAAAATGCTAAAGTTTAACTTGAAAAAGATCTGAATCTCCCTGCGCA